TCTACATTTGTAATGTGTTGGAGTTTGCATAACTTAATCTTTAGTTTTATAATCTAAAGTAAGACATTCAACAAAGTCTCTTTATGATAGATGCATAGCATCATATCACATATACCAATACAGACGTGTGAGGAGGAAGCTGTGGGGAAACAATTGTAGCATGGTCTGTGATACGGCATCTAACATATTGCTTATTTGATTTCATTCACAGTGGATTGTCAGGGTAATTTCTAGATCATTGCCCTGTTTGACAGTCAAAAAAGAAAAAAATACATAAAAACATAAAGAAAGAAAAAATATGACTGACATTTGGATCAGCAGAAATGATGTTTTACTTAAATTTCTGCTAGTTTCCACTAAGTTGTTCACCCTGAAGATTTGTGCTAGCTAAATGACTTATTGGATGTGTCAGTTGATAATGAAGTGGACTCGTCATTATGTAGGGCATGACATTCAGGGTTGTGAAAAGGACATGGTGAACTTTATAAAATGTCAACATGATGACAATGTTGCTGATATAATGTGTTGTTATTTCTTATCGCAGGGCATAAATGAGACTTTAGTAAAGTATTAATCCATAATTGTTGTATGGTGCTAAATATTCCCTTTGCATTTTTTCAGTAGGAAAAATTGATATATTTGACATCCATCTTAAGACCATCAAAAAGAATGAGCAAATATTACTTTTATGAGTTTTCATCAATAGTTCACATAAGATTTCTTGATACCGATCTGTGAAAGTGAATAAAACGGTTTATGTCAGCATGAAATAACATTTTGACCTGTTTACCATTTAATCATAGGAGCTCATGAAACTATCGTTCTACTTTGATCTATGCAACTTCGTGGAGACTCTATCTGAATGCAATCACATAAACTAGAAAAGAACTCCCAGAGCGCAGACCTTCGCCAAGGCAGCAAAGTCTCTACCCAATGCCGTTTCACCCCTAAATTTTCATTCTATAATGATTTAATTTTTTTCATTATTGATTATTGATTGATTGTTGATCCAGATCGCCACCAAAAACTAATCATCTGTTCCTTGGCCCACTTCTGACAGTTCCTGAAAATTTCATCAAAATCTGTTAATTTTGTTGCTACCATTCAACAGGAATGTTATTGTTTTGCGAAATTGTGATTTAAAAAATACAGTATCTGTAAAATTCCACCATTGATAAAGCGAGTACGTTGGAAACCAGGAGGTGTGTTAATCTGGTAATGACTTGAACAGTAACGACTGTTGTACTGTGATTATTTAAATGAAAAATAATTGCTTGTGTTTGGTACTAATAAATATATATATATATATATATTTGTGTGTGGGTGGGGGAGGCTTGTCATAAATGAATGATTCATAACTGGAAGGCAGGTATGTGTGTACCTAAACTCAAGGTTTTTAAATCTTGTTGGAAGAACACAGGTCCGTTTCATGCACAAGCAACGTGATTCCTCACTACCCTCCCACTCGATAGAGTGTCCATGCGTGCGAAGGGGGGCGTCTCGATAGTCCGAAGGTTCATTGGTCCGAAGGTTCATTGGTCCGAAAAGTGGTAACATTTTTATCGATTTTTTAATCAAGGGTTCATTGGTCCGAAGGTTCTACAGTGAACATTCGGACCAATGAACCTTCGGACTATTGAACCTTCGGACTATCGCTACGGCCCCCGTGCGAAGTGTCCACGTGTTCTGTTTGTTGACAGTGAAACTTCTCCATCACCTGTTGCCGAGTCGAAACGAATTAGTAATCCAGAAATGAGCTCCAAGCAGTCATTTTTGGTTGTCTACGATTTTTGTTCAATATTGTTTTACAAAAACGTCAAAGTCTATAATGATTTTTTTTGTTACTGGTAACTGATTGCCATGCAAATCTACTTTTAATAAATCTACTTTTACTTTTAATAAATCAACATTTGATGAAGTTCTGAAGAGCATAATGCTTAGCAACAAAATTGCTAGTAACATGAAATGCTATTCGCTTTTCGCGTTTTGCAAAGAAAATTCAACAATATTTATGTTGTATATCCGCTTCTTTACGATAAAGTATTATATTATTCATTTTTCCCTTGCCACCTCAACAAGCCTCCATAGCTCAGTGGTTAGAGCACTGGTCTTGTAAACCAGGGGTCGGGAGTTCGATCCTCCCTGGGGGCTTTCGGGCAGGGTTGTTCACTTTTTCATTATTTTGGACAATGTTCTTCATATTTTAAACATTGACACATTATAAACTACTTCATGTGATATAATTTATTTCAAATAAAGACTGTACGAACACATAATCTAATATTTTTCTGAGACTTCCGGAGCATGTGCGCGCAGGTGTTCATCCGGGACATTGTCATGACGAACTTTCATAATGGCGGTCTAGGTGGTTACTACAGCATGCTTGAATTATTTTAAAATTAGCCACTGTGAGTTTGTGAAAATAACGTCGATGATCACAAGGAATGCGGGGATGATCGACGGTTTTTAAAATGCAGAATGAAGACCGCTTATCAAACGATGAGTCCAACACCGAATTGAATGATGTCGAGGTTCTAAAATTAAGAGGGAGACCCTCATCGCCTATGATGGAAAAGACACAAATTATTACGCCTCAAAATTTCATCCCAGACAGTGACGAAGACGATGTATCTGAGGTAAATGATTTTACCGTCAATGTGTTCCATAATTTTGCAAAACAATAAGCTTAAAGTAGTACAAAATGGCGTCCAATACGACGTTGGATGTAACGAAAAATCCTTGCAAGGTCATGAAACCATGTGCTTTATTGATTCGATACATTCAAACTTTGTATATTGCATACAACACATCCGCTTATCAGCCAACTTGTAACGTATTTAATGTGTGATATTGATGGCTATCTGTTCAAACCCTGGGAGTTGTGATTCATGGCTACTTGGATATGTTTCTTAAACTTGTTCAACTTCTGCCTGGCAATTGTGTTGCAGCTGACTTTACTTTTTCAATCTAATCTGCTTTTTTTGCTAAAAAAAGTTGTCCTTGTTTAATTTTAATTTTTTTACTGGTAGTAATAACTGAGTTATTTGTCAATTTATGTACTTAATTAGCTCAGTTATGTCCTTTGAACAGAAAGCGGCATCTTTAAAGGTCATTTCATTTGAAAGTTTGTTTTTTGCATGTCTAAATAGAATTGTATTTAAGTGTAAAAGAATGATAAAGTTAATTTGAAATGCAAACTCACAGCATTCTATTGACATGTTTTCGAATCACATCTATTCTGCCATAACATGAAATGGCCTCTTCTAATATGTGATTCAATAAATGTCAAGGTTTGTATAGATTCCAAATGAAAATCTGTAAATAAATTATAAATAGATGACACTAAAATCTCATAAATGAAAAACTTAACAAGCACTGGTTAACAGTTCATGAAATGAATGGCATTCGTGTAGTAGAGAGGCATTTTCAGGTCCTTTGTATTTGTGGATATTCCATTTGAAGCTCCCGAAAAACAGAATTTATATTTAAGTTGCTTGTTGGCAAAAAAATACATGATAATTAACTTTCTGGTGCATCATTTTTAATGACTGAAAAAGGTAAGGTTTACATATGGATTGAAGATAAATTCTCAAAATTGTTTTCTATATGTATTTTATTTGAGTGTTTTGCATTTATAAAAATTTTAATTATATAAGGCAAATTTGATAGTGCTGTTCAAACATTTTTCCATTAAACCTCCAACTGGAAGTATGTTTGTTTTGTCAAGGCCATTGGTTGTGATATTATTATTCTTAATTCCACTTGATAACAGGACTATTATTCAATAGCTCACGGCAGCCAAACTATCAGTAGGAGAAAAAAAAAAAAAAGAAAGAAAGAAAATGCTGACTTAATTTTTCTAAGGATGACAAATCCCTAGAGACATGATTATTGATATATATATTCACATATCTGTGCATACAATGTGTGTGTGTGTGTGTGTGTGTGTGTGTGTGTTGTATGCACAGATATGTGAATGTTTATATAAGATCATGACCTGTCTGTGGGAGTTGAAATACTTTTTATCCGTATTATTATTATTTTATTTACTGTGAAATGTTCACTTGATCAAAGGTGTTTTGCTTTTGATTATTTTCAGTAATAGTCAGTAATGAGGTGAAGGCTGTGCTGAAATCTCTTGATGTAGGCAATTATCAATATCACAGATCATCAGCCATTGCTTAATGAAGTGTTATGTATATGACATTTGTTGCTTAAAAAATAAATTGATGACAAGAAGAATAAAAACAAATTAGGTTAAAAAGCTTTTTTCTCCTTTGATCATTTATGTCTGTTAATATAGACCACTTGATCATTTCCAATGATTCTATGAAGTAAATGTTAAAATCCTACACATTTAATCTGAGAATGGCATAGGAACTGCTCCCTAGTCTACAGGGCTTATTAAACACGTTGAGCATCTATATTAATGAATGTTGATTGTATTTCTCTGGAACTAATGCTAATAATTTAATTGGCTATAGGTTCTCTGTTAGCCTAGTCTAGTGTATTTCTATATTGACCCCAGACTTTACAAAGTTAGTGTCTGAAAGGGTATTTGCTGAGCTTTCATGTTGCTTACATATTATATGGTGCACTGAAATTGCTTTACATACGTTAACTTTTGCTTACAGATTTAAAACTTGGATACTAAGATCTATATTAGTGGGACAGATATGTTCACACCAGGATGATTTATTTCATCACTGTGGTATTGAGTCAGTGACATATTTTTTAAGTTAAAAAAAATACAGGTATTCCTGAGGACCTACTAGTATTTGGCATTTCTATGGATATCTGATCATAATTTCTTTCTATTAAAAAAATAAATGAGTAAAGTATTTTTATTTTGGGAACAAGTGTGATTGTTTGTGTTGATTTATTGTTAATCAATTAGGCACAGTTATTGGTGTCCAATATAGTTATTGGGAAGGTTGGCCATAAAATGGACCTGTTTTACTAATTTTTTCAAGTGGGGACTGCACCTTTTAGGAAAAAACATACCTGGTGCTACAAATACACAAATAGTGAATCACACTTTACTTGTTATGTCTAATTAGCTGTTTTAAGCTTACAGTAGTTCATTAAATGCATTTACCAATCATTGTCATTGAGACAGATCAATGTGTTTTTATTATTATTATTATTTTCAATTCTGTTTGTTGGAATTTTTGTAGGTTGAATCCTTTATATTAGACCAAGAGTTTGAGGATGAGGAACCCATTTTAGATGCCTCTAAATTTCTACTAACATCAGAAAGTATGGAAGCAGCAGATTTAAGAAATGTAGATCCAGAAACTCAAGCAAGACTGGAGGCACTGCTTGAAGCTGCAGGTAGGTATTTCATTCTAACTGTCAAAGGAAAATAAGACTATGATCTCCCTTTATCATTTCTTTTGTCAATCATGGTAAATTGTTTAAAATGTCACTGGACTCAGCCCAACGTTTTTCCAACTGGGCCAGTAGAATCCATGTTGCTGTTGGGAACAGCTCATTATATTCAGTCTATGTCTGAAGCTCGTCTTGACAAGTTTACGTACAGTCAATATTTAAGCTTTAGAATATGTTTGGGCTATTTTAAGATGTGTCAGACAAAGACATCCTGGTTCAGACTTTAAGTGGTGAAATATTTTGCTGTTAATCATCTTTTTTATTTGATATGTATCGAAGATAAAATAGATACCTTTGAATTTGCATGGAAACCAGTTAGATTGTGTTTTTGGTAAATTAAGATAAACATTAAAGCAGAGAGTTTAATGTATTTCACTGCAGCCTTTTAAAGGTCATATGAGAAAAAATACTCCATCCACATTCTTGGAAAAATGGAAAGGTAGTATTGTTATGATCAACTGTATTTTTATGTCACACAGGACTGGGGAAGCTGTCCACTGCTGATGGAAAGGCCTTCGCCGATCCTGAAGTGCTTAGGCGCCTGACATCTTCAGTTAGCTGTGCACTGGATGAAGCAGCAGCAGCACTGACCAGGATGAGGGCAGAGCAGCAGGGACAGTTGGCACAAGGAGACGGGTAAGTTTCAGAAAAAAAATGCACAGATTTCACATGTCATCTTGATTATTTATACAGGAAATGTAGTTGTTTTTCAAATTGATGAATTGTGTTCTTGAAATGTTTTGAATTTTTACCTTCTATTTAAAAGATGTTGGAATATGGTTTCAAAGCTGTTTGCAACTTTTTAATGGTCGAAATGTTGTGTCGTGTAAAGAGTAGATAAAAAAGCATTATAGATGAACTTAGTCCAAATCAGAAGTAATTAATCAAATGCTATGACCAGTGGGGTTGATAAGGTTTTCCTTTGAGAGTCTAGTAAAGCTTGTGTTAGTTCTTTTTATTTGCATATTTTTTTATTATGATATACCTTATAAAGTAAGGGGGATAATTTTTTTGTTTAAATTTCAGTGGTAGATCGCTTGCTGAAGCTTGCAGTGATGGGGACATTGGAACAGTACGGAAACTCTTAGATGAAGGCAGGAGTGTACATGAAACAACAGAGGAAGGGGAGAGCTTGTTGTCTTTGGCATGTTCTGCTGGATACTATGAGTTGGCACAGGTAAGTAATGAATGGAATATTTTGAGATTGGTGATTGGCACTATGGGCTTAACCAGGTAGTTGCTCCTTTAGCTTTAATCCTTATGTTGTTACTTCTTAACTGCAAAATTATTAATGTTCACGCTGATGGGTTGTCACATTGATGCCAAGCTTGTTTAACATAAATAACCACTACTTAAGTAAGTTTCTTTATAGCTTATGAAAACAGCAACATATATATATATATATTAGTATATTCATTCAGCGTGTAAATTGTAAATTCACAAGTTATGAACATATTTTCCTCAGCTAAGCTAATGCTGTGAGAATATTTCAGCTTGTGTTTCATGATTATGATAACATATTTTATTCAGGTTCTCCTTGCCATGAAGGCTAATGTTGAAGACAGGGGCATCAAGGGGGACTGCACACCACTGATGGAGGCTGCCAGTGGGGGTTATGTGGATATTGTGAAACTTTTGATAGGGCATGGTGGTGATGTGAATGCACAATCTTCATCAGGTATGATTTCTTTCACCTTCCAATTTTAATTTTTTAAATTATAGTCATTATTATTATAATTATTGTACCACCAGCGTTAGCGCTGGCGGTACACATGGTTTCGGTCCCGTCCGGATCGTTCCGCCGGCTCCGCCGGACGGCTACCGTTACCGCTTCTCCTCCTAGACGGTAAGGGCCCCCGTACCCATCTCATGGATTTAGGTCACCTATAATCTCAACTCGTTCCACGTAAAATTTGGGCTTTGTCGGTATTGGGGTCTGGGTGTGGCACTCATTACAATGCACCCTTGTCTAAAAATGGCAAAATTAAATGCTAATTATCTACCCTACGGAAGGAGTTATGGGAAAAATTTCTATAGGCGGCTTTCCAAAAGTCATATGTGTAGATTTCAAATATACCCTTGGATTTGACCTTTGACCTTTACTTCAAGGTCAAATGGGTCAAAATTTTCAAAAAAATGAAATTTTTTACGAAAAAAAATTTTTTTGCCCTGTTATTCAGACACTACACAGACTTAACCAATAATATTATTGGAAAGTGTTACCCTTCAGGTCATCTTTCATCTCCATGAATTTGGGGTCAATCGGTGCATTTTCACGGGAGTAGCGGCCATAAGATACCGAAACTGAAAACTGTCTCTAATTC